ACCAGCAACTTTCGGCTTTCTTTCACTCGGTTCAATTGTGACTTAATGTAACTTACAGAGATGATAAAACAAACAAAAGTATCAAATATGGAGCATATTCTAATTGATCCAGCAACAAATTCTTCACTGTTAGTTATATAAGATTATATGTAAACTAGGGACAATACGAAAATTGTTCGTGGGGCTATAATTATGATCTCCGGTATGTTATGTTTATCCGTCTTCCAGGTTTTTTTACACGATCGTTCAGACTATTGTAATAACACAATCTCTAGCTTATGTTGGTCAAAATTAACTACAGACCCGACAGAACTCCTCAATGTGTTTTCAGATAATTCATATACTCTTAGTAGGTATGGTATATTTACACATACAAAAAAAAGAAGCATATTGCATTTGTCTAATAAAAAATATTTAAACAAAACTAAATCGAGACATTTCATGAAGAAAACGGACTTTCAAACTGTTATCACTTAGATATTATGACACTATTAAGTCTGGAAATAATGTAAACCTTCCCTCAAACATTTGTACAACTTACTATGATAATTGTTGTCTTCCGAGAGGCAATTGCGCCCATTAACAACAGTAAAATAGTATAAAACAATATATGATTGTATTACAAAAATCGACACATCAACCCGTTGCTATATGTTTACGATTTACTACAGTTTAGTGGCATATTACTTTACATTAATATCATAATGAATATATGTACAAGTACGCTCATAAAGCTGCATTGATTCAAAAGCTTTTACATGATTTTGCAAATTAGTCTCCTGCAATATTTTAGATCAAGATACAGCTGTTCGACATTTCGTAGACTCAACGCACAACTCTCGAGAAATGTGAGCTCAGATAAGAATAATAAAATGCTATTTTTAACAGGTTACTCGTTTCGAAAAGCGGAAAACATTCATGACGTTTTTTGTCCAAAATAACCTCATAGTTGTAATAAATAAACAGCACCGTCATATCCTGTACCGCTTTTCTTCTCGATTATGCTTATTATGTCGCCAAATGTTTGCCATAACTTGATCAAAAATATTTTTCCGTCATGACAGTTCTGGTGATACAATCCAAGTACCTACATACTATCATCATACTTAATTTAAAAATAGTATTTTCTATGTGTCAATGAATCTTCAAGAACTGAGGAAATATAATGACATAAATTCTTTATATAATGTTTACGGCGTTCGCAGCTTTTATAAGCTAAAAGTGAACTGTGTTTCCAAATTGTCTGCCAAAAAAAATCATATGCAACACCATCAGTTCTACAATTTGACATCAAGATGACTGAAACGTAATAAAAATGTATAGTTGAGATGTGACCGATTTTCCAATATTTTACATAGTATAAATATAGGTGAAAAATAATACCGTATATTTGCTTATCTACAATGTGATTGAGTTACTTTATATCTAGAAAGTACCTATATTTTAAGGTAATACAATGTCGTGTGTAAAACTAGAAGTACAGGCTGACCAATACGTAACTGGCTGATTTTTGTTTCTCCCACATCTTTCACATGAAACAAAATGAATCCAATTTCTTCATCTTAATCCTCTATTGAAAGTTGGCAGGTTTGCTTGAAAACTGGTATCACATGAATGCCCATCTCTGGAGGAGGCCCTTTCAATTACTTTTTTCATCACATTTTGCTAGTTTTCGAGAGGAATATTTTAAATGGGTTTTCGAATATTGCCCTCCGGCTTCTTTATAGTACTTACACCGTTGGCATAAAACTTATTTTTTAGAGATCGGAATAGAAAGACGTCTGGAGCATCTAAATTTGGTGTTGTAGGAAGCCAGATGACTTTTTGTTTGACTGTTTCAAGTGTGTATAGAGATGACGAGAAAACAATGTTATCTGTTTCTTTTTTGTCAAAAAATACATTTTTGTGCATTTGTTCTTCAATCGTAGCTTGTTAACAAATAATAGTAGGTACATCTTTGAAATTGTACGTCACTATTTCACTATTATGGAAGAATTGAGCGAGTGATTACTTTTATTCTCTTTCTCTATTCAAAAATTCAGTGCTTTTCTTGAAAGCTTAATTTGCTGCAAAATGGGGTTTCAAGAAAATCAAAGATTTTAAAAGAAAAGGTGATAAGAATAAAAGTAGTCATCCGCTCAAATCTACTATAAAAGTGAAATTTTGACATACAATTTCGGAGCTGTACTAATATTTGTTACGAACGAAGAAAAAATGCACACAAATAGCATTTTTCGCCAAAAAAGATTAATAACACTGTTTGCTAGACGTCTCTAAACACACATGAAATAATCACATGAAAAGATTTAGAATACTGCTCCAAACAGGCAGTCGACAAAACATGTGACCTTAAACTAGAAAGCTTATGCTTGCTTGTTTAGTCTTGTGCTAAATGTAATTTCAATAACGTAGGGTGTCCCAGGAGTCGATGTAAAGCTGGAAACGGGGGATAGGCCAAGTCACAATAGTTATAAGAAAAATGTAAAAAAACTAAGTCTTGTACTTTTTAAATTGTAGGCTTTCAAAGAATCGAAAAATGTATACCCTGTGATGATCTTTTAGTTCCCCTTACTACAAACTCCAAGTTTTTTCTTAGACGGAGTGACATTTAGTGTAAGTCTACGTCATGACAGCATGACGGATAGTAATGCCACTTTTATTACTTAATTCCTGAAATTATTAAATTCACAATAAATGTTCAAACTGCCTTCCTTCGGTAGCAATGCAAGCTTGTCAACTTAAAAATGATCGGGATATCAGACCAATCTTATGTTATTAACAAATTCAGCTGCTTCCGTTATTCTGTCACGTAGCTCTAGCTAAATTTTCGATTGGCTTTTGGTAAACTTTTTCTGTCACCGCTGCCTAGTAAAAAAATTGAGGGTACTGAACGGGCATAGCGCACCGGGCAGCCTTCTTGCTATCTCTGCTTAGTGACACGTCTCCAATAAATTTGGTAAATGATTTTGTAGAAAGTCTAAATAAATTTCGCCATTCAAAAACTCTGGCAGCTCAAAGGGTACAATAATTCTTCCAAGCAGAATTGCGGTCCACATGCTTACTGTGATACTGTGATCTATCTTGCCTCAAGAGATGTGGATTCTACATGCCACTCATGTAAGTTGTGTAGATTCATGTAACCATCTGTTTTAAATGTCAACTCATCAGTCCATAAAATCTTATCTAAAAATCGCCCATTTTCCTGGTGTCTCAGTAAGATTGACAAAAATCAACTCTTGGAAGATAATACCGAGATTGTAGAAATTGTACTCGCTGTACGTGGTACGGATGGAGCTCGTCCTTTAGCAGCATTCGGTGGGCTATAGTTTAGGGCACTCTCGTACTTGCGTACTGCTTGTAGTATGAACGTCCTCGTAAAGGAAATTATTCCTTCACCATGTGCTTGATTTGAGAATAATCCCTCTGAGAGTAAACAGTGCCCATTCACAGAAACTCGGTGATCGGGATGACGAGCAGCATTTGAGTACCGCCCACGATAAAGCTTAGCTGCAGCGTTAGGCTTGCATCTACATTCCCCATAAATGTGGTGCATGTAGTCGTATTCCTGTATGATCTTTACAGATATGGTGGCACTACACAATCATGAATTAATAAAAATGGCGTAACGTAACATTGCTGTCACTACATACACGACTTAGATGTGTTTTATATTTTTCTGATAACTATTATGACTTCATGACGTCAACTTCTCGGTATAAGCTATAAATGATGAAATAATTGTTTGGCAGTGGGTAAAAAATGCCCGCAAAAAAAACTGAAGATTTTCCCCCAGAAAATTATATCTCCCAAAAATTCCCCGAAAGGTGTAAGAATCCCCCTAAATTGAGGGAAAACCTCCCAATATGGCAACGCTGTACTTTCTATAGGGGGGTGTACTGAAATTGTATTTGTCAAATAAATAAATTATAGTTCCGTAGCGTATCGGATCAACTCAAAAAATGCATAACATAGGCAATGAAAAAATTTCCCAAACAAAGCTAAGCCAGGGGGAGTCGAAAGTGGAGTACCTTGACATCTATTGAAAATTATACATTACGCAGCGGAATTCTTTGGAAAGTTCTGGCAGATTTTATGGTATTCAGTTTCATCTCGTATAAGCGTTCAAAGACGGAATTGGATTTTCCTTGAAGTTTAATGTTCCATATTTTCAGAGCTCTGCAAATTGTATAAAGTATAGGTATACAATTACTACTAGGTGCAATGTTTATTTGTATATCAATGTTTCATCTTTGAACGGTGACGAAAATACATTTACCGTACATATTTCTACAAGGCGACATCGTAAGACCCATATGTGTGGAAAAACTTCTCGTGTCCTTCCCAAAAAGCACTGCCGATTGGAATGAGGAATCGCGGAAAATTTAGAATATGAGACACATAAGTTTTTGGATGTTACATGACATGTTCATCACGACAAACTGTGTCACGTTTTTCCGTTCGGTCAGTCCACTAATCTTTGACCCTCTGTACTTCTGAAAGAACCGCTCGAAGCATAATTATATTTCAATTCAACGAGGGGATATCCGCGAAGACGTTTTATTATTAACATACTTCATAGCTCTTGCCGTTTCCCAATGGTGAGGGTCGAATTTGAAACACCCGGTATAGTGTGGTATAGGTAATAAAGCTTCGGTTCCATTTGAGTCTTTTGATTAGACTTGAAATTGCACTTGACACAAATTTTTGGAGCCACGTTCTGCATAATAACTAACTAATTGTAATATGTAGCTATTTGGTTTTACACTCAACCTTCTAGTGTGGTAAGCTATTTTTAGCCGAAGGTTTCTTCGTAGCATGAGCAGAATGTGAACCACAGATCCATAGACACAACCGATGCATGATTAATATTTCCTTTTTGGATTGGCCATTTATCTATTGGACTTTGGTCTTTGAATTAGAACTTTGAATTGTATCACAGACACGAGTGTTAGATTTACAAATAAAACAAAAATAATCCTCAAAGAAGCCAAACAACTTACCGAGATGGTGTAGGAGGTAACGGACGGTGATGTTCGGTACCTTCTGGTAGTGTAGAAATCGGATTCGTAAACCATGTTTGGGCCGAAGGTTTCGGAGTTTGCGATTGAAAAAAGCTGACAAAAGTTCGCTAAGATCGGCGTCTCTCAATATCGATGTTGTAAGCTAGACTGAGCTAAAATGTTACACCTCTGCATCCACGATGTTAGCGGCGTGCTATTTTTAAGCGACTTGGTACGAATGCTTTATTTTTGATTCTTATTAACTTACTCCGCTTTTACTCGGTTGAACATGTTGTTCGTTGACAAGCTGTTTTCTGATTTATAAATTATGTCTACTTTGATTTTGAATATGAGACTAACACAAGTAGTAATGACCATTCATGGAGCTTGTCTCAAATTATCTAGAATGGACGCTGAAGTTTCCGTTTTCTACGCCAACAGGCGAAAAAAGTGTATAATTGCGAAAAGTTTTAATTCATAATATGTCTTATGATGCAGGCTATATAGGCTGATTTAAAAGTCAATGTTAATCTTTCTGGAAGAAACAGTACATAAAAAATGACATGAAAAGTTACTATAAACACGGGTCCTAGAACGTCACATCAAGATGTCCCGTAAATATGTACCAAAGTAATGATACTAATCAAGTCAATTCATATTTTCATAAACTACTTGACTTGAAATAGTTTAATCATATTAGCAAATTTCCCCAAAATAATATAATAATATTAGTAATAAAATAAGTCTGGTTCTATTGATGCGAGTTGTTCAAGGGGGTATTTAAAACATAGAGGCATAAAATGGGTACACCAATTTATGTGGGAAAAGTTTTTATTCGATAACAAAGAATAAGAAAACGTGTTTTTTGGGATTCAATCGAAAGTGTTGGCAGAAACCAAAAAACTCTTTAGATAAGATTTTTAAGTATTTATGAGACCTACAGAATGAAGCCACACATAATGAAATCCGATTGACAGTAAACAAGTTATGGCCGAAAACCGAGGCAAAATGCATGATAATTTCACGCAGCTACTTGAAATTCTTCAAATCCGTAGGCTTCATACATCTAAATAACCACAACAAAATTGGAGTCGATTGATCAAGTAGTTTTTGAGAATTTCTAATTGTTTATCCCAAAACACCTGTCTTCCGGCCATCACTACTAGTTTACTGAGCAATATACAGGGTTCATTCAAAGGGCATTTTATAGCTAAATAGACGAGATTACCTTACCGATATGCATCGCAAACCATTCCAGAAGATAAATGTTATTTTTATGCAAAAAAGAATGGGTTACGTGTTTTCTTCTAAACAAATTCAAACATTTCGTATTTGTGAGTAATTCGCAACAAAAGATGATGGACACATCCATCCGCTTTGTTTTAATGGTAAAGTATGTGTTTCGAGTATCGTAGCGCATTTGTTCAATTACTCGCAAATACGAAATGTTTGAATTTGCTTCGAAGACAAAATAATTGTTATTTTTATGCGAAAAACGAAGGGGATAAACACTTAGAAATCCAGAAAAACTACTTGACCAATCGACTCCAGTTTTGTTGTCGTTATTTAGAAGTATAAAGCCTACGAATTTGAAGAATTTCAAGTATCTGCGTGAAACTATCGTCGCATTGCCATCAAGTGCGAAAACCTGCATCTTGCTTCGATTTTCGGTCATAAGTTTTTTACTACTAGTTGGCTCTTTTTACGCGTGGTCTCATTCTGTGGGTCTCATAAATACCTAAAAATCTTAGTTGGAGAGTTTTTTCGTTCCTAGCAACACTTTGAATTGAATCCCAAAAAACACGTTTTCTCATTCTTTGTCTTTGTCGAATAAAAGAGTTTTCCCACAAAAATTGTTGTACCCATTTTATGCGTCCATGATTTAAATACCCCCTTGAACAACTTGCATCAATAAAACCAGACTATACAATTATTTTGCAAGCCAGGGGTATTTTCGTCTAATATGATTAGACTGAAAATGAAATTACTTGAAACGTTAATGCCTGACTTGACGACTGTTGATTTTTTATTGCTCTACGTGACTTGGGGTGAAGCATTTTCAGACTACATGATACCTGATGGCAATTTATATTTGTGTTCTAGTAAAGACCTTCAGCAATATTTATTTGTACAACCGATGAGACGTATTTTAATGCAAATAATCACATAGAAAATCGAAAATAACACTACCATCTGAAATGATGCATGCAATCAGCGATGCCAAACCAAAAAACACGAAATCGGTAGATAGAGTCGTTGAAAAAATCAGTAGGAAGGGAACCAATTTAAATGTTTTTTACACGAAAAAAATATAATGTCCATACATCTTTAGCTATATATGTATATAACAAGCACAACTTAAAAACAATTATTATGATATAGTAGTGTGGTTCAAAATCCGGTCAGTTGTCACTTCCATTATTTTTAACTTCACTATGATTATAAATCCGTTATGACCCTCATAAGTCTTAGCTTGTGGTTCGCGGATGAAAAACTAATTTAGATTTCTTATTTTTTTTGTATCAGCTGATGAATAAATGTTTTTTTTCACTTAAGTTTAAAGTCTCATCATTCTATTATTGGTTATACGATGAATAAATTATTTTTTTCAATATTGTGTTCTCTGAAACTTGTGACAAATAAAGAGTTTCCGTTATGTATTTATAATCTACTTGTAATTACATTACAAAAAGTATTAAGTAATATCAAGTCTACTTGAATTTTCAAGTACTTGACCTATTATAACAAAATTCCCCGTCTTTGTATTTTTGTTGATCTAAGAAAAGCTTTCGACACAGTAAACCATACATTATTGTAACACACATTGGAGAGACTTGGCTTTCGGGGAAAGGTGTACTCATTGCTAGAAAATTACTTATCCAACAGACAGCAATTCGCTAAAGTATCAAAATTTTTCAGTAACGAAATTTTCATCAAATGTGGCGTCCCACAGGGAACCGTTTTAGGTCCGCTGCTTTTTAATATATACTTAAATGATATATTTCAAATTCTAGAGTAAAGGGAGAGCTGCAAAGCGTGGAAATGCTTATTTTCGTTAACTTTCTTATATTTCTTCAATATGGCAAAATGCGGTATGTAAAGGATACGTTCCATTCTGCAAATGTCATGATTAAGAAGGTATTTATACCTTGTAAAACACAGATAATATCAACAATATTCTGCAACTAACCAATTTGCAGTCATTTTTTATCTCATTCCCATCACTTTACAACCCAAACCTAGTGCCTATTCGGACGGAGAAAGAAAAAAGGCTGGTGTAGCTAAGGTAGAGAATTACCTATGATTTTAAAGGGCAATGAAATACAGTATATTCAGATAAGAGATAGACCGGATGTAAACAAAAGGTTCGGGTGATTTTCACGCTAACGCCGCCGTCTCGACGTAAAACAGGAGCCCTCATTGGCCAATTCGCAATTAAATGCCTATGCCGAGCGGCAGAGCAGTCGTATCAAGGCAGAGTCACATTCAGGTTCAGACGTGTTACGTATGTCGTGTGCATCATTGCAATTTGATATTTCTTTGGACGTTTTCGTTTGTTATCTTATTAAGTTGTTGAGTTTGTCGTTGTTATTGTTATACCTTGTTATTGATTGTTATTGTTACAAACTGCTTGCGCAAAATGCCCAGTAGTACAGATACTGCCGATGAAGTTGTAAACTCCTGTAGTCCACCTAGGAAACGCTCTAAAAAAAGACACATGAGTGCAAAAATGAAAGAGGTCATTTTGAATATATATAAGATCGAGCGCGAGGAGAACGAGGCATCAACCATCAAAGAAATTGTTGTGTAGGTTTCTCACAAAGTTGTGGTCTGTCGCGCATCAGTGTTTAATGTGTTAAGACAATACAAAAAAAAAACACCTTTTCTGAGCCAATGACCAGTAAACATCGCAAAAGTATTGTTAAATCATTGGATGAAGCTGATAAGCATGCGATTAGGAGGAAAGTGCATGAATTATTCTTTAGGAATGAAATACCTACTATAGATAAAGTACTGCAGGAGGTAAATGGAGATACAACGTTGCCAAATTTCAAACGATCAACTTTCCATGCGTTACTGAAGCATTTAAATTTCAAATGGAAAAAACGGGGTCGCAATAGTTTACTACTGGATAGAGAAGAAATTGTGCTATGGAGGAGGGATTATTTAACAAAAATTGGGAAATATAGAAATCAAAACAGGAAGATTTATTACCTTGATGAAACGTGGGTAAACGCAGGACACACTACAAGTAAAGTATGGGTTGATGATTCTGTAACTTCATCCAGGAGGGCCTTTCTAGATGGACTGTCCACCGGATTAAAAAATCCAGCAGGTAAATACGAGTAATAGACAACAATCGGATGTTTTTCAAACCTTGGGAACAAGGTTCTAAACATTAATTCCAGGGGGCAGATAAAACATATTACAAGTAACAAAACTTTTGTAACTTTCGATAAAATGCGTGGATGTTTTATTGTCATTTTCATTTGTTAGAACTTTTTTAAGCCATGTTTTTATGTGTTTTCGATATCTCAATAATTTTTTAATATAATCTTAAAATATGTCGAATATTATAAACTTAAAAAAGTTACTAAGTTTTATATTGTGTACCGTTCCTAATATTTCTAATCATTTTAATTCATACTTTAAGCTTTATAAAGTTATAATTTGTTAATATTAATATTTGCGCGTATTTCAGGTTCCTGATCATTCATTTTTTAAAGGTTTATAACTTTAAATTAAATTGTGAAGCGCTGAGTAATCATACGACGTTCAATATTCTTTCTTTCAATATGACTAAATAATCCCAATTATAGCAATCTGATACTCATGTCTCAATGTTTTTTCGCTGAATGTGATGAAAACATTTGAAAAAGGTTCGCTTATTGAAATAAATCTACACCAGTTAGTACTTCGATTTCCAGGTAAAGGGAAAAGGCTCATTATCTGCCATATTGGCAGTGAGGATGGATTTGTTGTTGACGGTCTGTGGTGCTTTGAATCTAAGAAAACTGGAGATTACCACGAGGAGATGAATGGCGAATCGTTTGAACAGTGGTTTTCAAAAATTTTACCGAACTTAGAGGAAAACGCAGTAATTGTGTTGGATAATGCGCCTTATCATTCTCGAAGAATGGAGAAGGTCCCAACAACGGCTTCAAGGAAAGTTGATGTTCAAAATTGGCTCCGCTCGAAAAATATCAACTTTGAAGAAGCAATGCTGAAAGTACAATTATTAAGAATTGTCAAGGATCACAAGGCGGAATATCAAAAATACGCCATTGACGAAATGGCA